GAAACATTCATGGCAATATTCAGGACAGGTGAAGGAAAAAGAACAGAAAACAACTAGGACAAATACTTGCAGGCAAAAGGAGGACGCTTACAGAAAATTAAGATACGATAGAGTAGTAGAAGTGTGTGTGATGATGCCCTGTATACATATGTTTAAGTTATATATGGAATTTAGAAACTCTGACAGGGAAGGAATAATTTTAATAACAACATTTCTACAGCAGCTGAACAGTATTTGAGTATCCAGCGTTACTTTGTAAAACTAAGAAAATCCATGCTGCAATATTACTTTGTTCACACTTTGTTATTTTTATAAAGGTCAAGGATAATTATTAATACAGTAAGTTGTCTGATATACAGTAAATGATAAGCAGAAAGCACAAATCAGCAAAGCCATGTACAATTCAACAGCATGTGGGGATTACCACGATACGCTTAGATGAGAATATATGTGTATGCATATATGCACAGATATGCTCAGTGATTTAAATAAGAAACGCTAATTTTGAGAGTTTGATACTTCTAGACTTTTTTAGTGTCAACAGCAACAATCAGCTTCCCCATATGATGAAATTAAATACAATATTTATTAAATGCACCACTACTTTTAATCTCAGTTGCAGTGAGATTTATGGCGAGGATTCTATTAATTTTCAATTGAGTAAATGCTACTAACATTTTGAAATTTTCATTTTTTCTGCTGCAGAAATTACCTGAGCAATTTCAGCTATCCCTTTGAAAAAATGGAACGGAGAGGTGGGAAAGAAGAGTATTTACCAAGAGCTTCAGTAACAAGCTGATGTTGGTTTAAAAGCATTTAGACTACCAAAATGAACAGTTCAAGTCTAATCCTAGCATCTTTACAAAACTATCACTTTACTTATGGAACCTAAAGAAAACAAAGGTGTATACACTGAAATATGGATTGATAGTTGAATAATAAAAGAAGAAAACAATTATTTTGGAAAATGACTGGAAGATCTGTTTTAACTGTCGCATTCAATAACAGCAGTATGCACGTTAACTCATACAGGGAGTCATTTGAAAGGGCTTCTTATTTATTAATGAAGCTTTTTTTCCTCTGATATTTTGCAATGGAAAACAGTTTGCGTTTCGAAACTGTTTGGACTGAGATACTCAAATTATGGGTCAAAGTTTGCTCTCAGTCTCAGGTAAGTAAATCTGGAGTCACTCCACCTCTCTTAATGCAATGGCTCCAGGCTGACACCAGTGTAAACGAAGGAACGAAGAGCAGAATTTGGCCCAGGGTCTCCAGTTTTGTATTGCCATTGAGAATTTTTCTCCAATATATATTTTTGCTACGCTTATATTTCAATAACCGTATGCAAAGGAATTTTGCAGAGAATTCCTTATTAAACATATATAACAAACACATCATACTGGCTTGCTAGAGCAAATAATTTTAAAAAAATAATCAACTTGAAATAAATGTTTATAAAAGTAGCACAGCTGCACATATTTGTTACAAATGCAAGACAGAGTACTGAAACTTTTGTATGACTAACCCTTTAGTGTCTCTATGACAGCATCACATTTAAATAAAAAGTGCCAGGGACTAAAAAGCTATCATCATTTTTCCAAAAAACTAATTCATATGATATCTTCAGGCTGCTGTATTGGTGAAAGCATTTGCTGATATATATACACATATAAAAAATACATAATTCCTTCTTATACAAATTCATAGTATTTTTTGGAAGTTTTCAGCTAAAATGCCACATTACGATAAAGCCAAAATAATAACTATTTCTGCATTTACATGTTTGAAGCATGAGAAAAACAGATTAGCTTTCAAAAGATTCCTTATGAACTGTGATGACAAATGCAATTATTGTTAAAATGTACAAATCCTCTGGGTTGTGCTGAAATAGTTTGGAACATTTATAACTGGCTAAAAGAAAGAAAAATGACATTTTTCTTTTACTTTGACCTTTTGCTATTTTGGAAACAAGATCAAATATATTAGCCATTCCATCAGATGGCTAGAGTGAAAAACTAGCTGCAAAGAAGAAAAAATAATTAAAGGAACATTAACACAGATTATTTATGAAAGAAAATAAGGTCAAAATTAGAACTCTGCATTTTAAAGCCACCTTTCAAAAATGCAAGCTGCTTTACCCAACGATCAAATCCATTCATTTTCCTAATCATGCAATCACCCAATCTCCATTATCTCCAGCTAGCTAGCTATAAACACACTATAGACTGGAGTGAAAGAGGGAGAGTGTGAGGTTGAGAGACAGAGAGAGAGAGAGAGAGAGAGAGAGAGAGAGAGAAAGAAAGAGAGATTACTACACCCAGCCTTTTATAAAGCCGTTTCTTTCATTATAACAGGTCTTTTCATCAAAATGACACAGAACCTTTAAATTTGGGCATAATACTCCAGTACAGTACACAGCTATAGCTTAAAACTGATTTAGAACCTGCTCCAGAAAGAAAACAAACTCACTCATTTGACACACAAATTGTTTACGATTCATTAAAAAGCAAAATTGCATATCACAGTGCTGGCAGCTGAGTCCATATGGGTGCAAGGGGTATTCACTCATCTCTTTGTATGCTGGCAGTACCAAACCGAAGTTTAGCACTATGCAGCTGAGATTTTGTGCAGCCAGACGATGCATGAGGTAATTTTAAAGCTTTATTTGTCTTTAAAACATTAAAATCTGCTCTGTAGTTTACTTTTGATTAAAAGAATGTGGCAAATGTGATGAGATTTGGGGTTAAAAAAAATACATATCTACTTTTTGTTTTGCATTTCAGACTCATAGACTGTATAAAATTGCTGCTTATTACTCCATCAATAATTGAAACTTTGTATGAAAATTATTTGCAATTAACACATCTATTGTAAAGATCTTGAATTATTCATTTCAGTTAAAAATAACATATCTTTCATGTAGCAAAACTTCTACCAAAAAGGCTGTTTTAGTGTTTTTTTTTGTTCTCTTAGAAAATAAATGGTGTGACGTTCAAGTTTAAGGAGAACTTTCTGCAATGTTTAATCTAAACAACAGCATGTGTGGTTATAAAACTGTTTATTTTTAGGCAAGTGCATTACTAAATGTTTCCAGCATTTTTACATATATATTCACAGTACTAAAACATCTGTGAAATAAATGTGACTAAAATGAAACTTCCTAGGATACTTTCTAGAGGGTGATAATAGCTGTCTAATAACATTTGAGGATACTTATTAAATAATAAACATTGACATACCTCATCATAAAAGCAGACGATAGACAATAAAAGAGGAGTGGTAATAAAATATACAAATAACTTAGAATAAGGTAAAACCACAGCATGATATAAATAGCGTAGTTAAAAACCGACAGTTTAAACTTTGCTTTGAAAATGATAACTAAGAATCAATAGACTTATTTACAGGGTTTAACAAGCTAAAAAAAGTCACATGAATAGTCAACAGTTTATGTGCATGCAAATACCCCTTCCCCCTCCAACTTCCCCTGGCAGAAAGTCTAATTGGAAAATCGGTACTATAAGTAAAGTGGTTAGCCTTCCACTATTCCCATTAACCGAAAGCTGCATGTTACATTTCACTGGCAACCACTGGTAAACCTCTAATAGATGGTTAAAAAATTAAGAGTTTAGACAAAACAAAACTAAAAAACCCCAAAGCCCAAACACCTTTAAATACAAGCCACATGATACACACAATGGCCACCACCAAGTTGCAGAATAAAAACCTTCCGGATCTCACTTTTAAAAGTCTTTCAAGTCCTCAGAGGTCTTAAACTTTCCAAATGATACCAAAATTGGTCCAGGGCGGCGAGGGGGAGGGAGCCCCCGACTTGTTTCAGCGTATCATACAATGAAACCGATCATGCCTTGTTTTGTAATTCCACTCGCCAGTCCTTTTTTAACTGATATCTATGTGAAATGAGCTGAGGTTCACGGTCCAGTTAGGAGCGGATAATACAGTCATTGTCCTGGCAGCAAACTTTTCCTCTCACTGGAAGAATTCACGCTTGCCACAAGAATAATAATTACAGAAAACTAAAAATGCACTGCTAACGAATTAATCCCTAACGGACAACACGCTAACGAGGGCAGTAATGATTTGAGGACTCTCTTCCTCACAACAGGACTTGCATCTTCTGCTACAATGGGCTATTGTGCATCCTCCTAACTCACTATACCTCTTATAGATTCAAGATGTCAAAGGTTGTCTGGCCCGACTGACCATGACATGCTAGTTAACTCGTTCTACGGAGCACGTTGGAACTTTATTGAAACTTTAATTGCACCCAAAAGCAGCTAGAGCCAGATTATGTGGGATCTGTAACACATGGCTCCAGATCATAATAGACCGGTAACCTGTTCTAACATAAACAAACGGAGGGAAAAGTTAGATCGGGGTCTCTGATGAAAGGCAGTACCTTGCAAAACACGCTTCTCTCACACGTGATGATTTTACACCATGACACTAACGCACCGCTCCAGACTTTTACAGTGATCAACTTGCTTTGTACCGTATTGAACTTTCCACCTCCCTCTTTAGAAAATACTGTATGGTAAAAAACGCACACACACGTGCACACACACACACACACACACACGCGCGCGCGCACACACACACACACACACACACACACACGCACACGCACACGCACACACGGACACTTGAAAGCAGCAGATAAAGTAAAACAAACTGAGCGTCAGGCAACTGACTGAGACAAGTTACTCTGCACAAGGCTTTTTCAAACTCCTTCTCTGCATACTTTTTTTTCCCTTAAGGAGAATTGAAAAAGCTTCCCGGTGGAAACTGCAGTGCACATTAACGGTCTCTTGTTACACAGGGGAAAGCATACAAGTGGGACAAGTGTGAGGCTGCTCTAGTGAAGAGTGTGAAAAAAATCAAATGTTAATTTGATAAATGTGAGGTCTGGGACATTTTGTCAAAGAGGGAGGGAAAGTAGAAAAGGGAGAAAAAAAAAAGCAGCCCTGCTGCCAACTCACCATCCACCAAGTTCTGGCCGAGATGTCGTAGCAGAGCTGCCATTTGATGGAGCCGTCGGAGGTTTTCCCTGCCATTATGCTGTCAGCAAGCTTCATCTGATGCTAACTCACGGGAGATAAGACACCTAATTGAGAAAACATTTGCACTGGCATGTTGGGCAACATGTAGCCCGGTCCATACCATATGGAATCATGGGTAAAAAAAAAAATCTCCTTGACAATGAACCAATCTCTCACAGACCCAGTGGCAAGGTGAAGTGGAGATGAAAAGTCATCTGCTCCTAGCACTGTCTTCTCCTCTCTCTCTCTCTCTCTCCCCCCCTCCCTCTCTCTCTCTCTCTCTCTTTTTTTTTTTTTTTAAATAAGAACCCAGTGCTCAACATCAAAGAGAGGCGGTCAAAATTAGGGCTTCATCACTCAGATGATTTTGGTCTGCAAGGTTTTTCTTTCCTTTCCTCTTTTTTCTTTTTTAAGAAGAATAAAGAGATTTAATAGGACAAAGGCAGGTAGTGGACTGCGGAGGGAGATCGCCACAGGCTATTAGCCTAAAATTTCTGCTTGACAGATGGAACTGCTTAGAGACTATCATGCAATGTTTTGGGTTTTTTTTTTAAAGACTTTCAGTCTGATTCAGTATCTGTTTATCGCAGCTACTTTTCTCATGTACGTGACCGGGCAAAAAAAAAAAAAAGACTGAGCAAAAAAAAAGAGATTGAGTGTTTTTCTTTCTTTTTTTCTTTCTTTCTCATTCTCTTTCTGTCTTTCTTTCTTCCTTCCTTCCTTAACATCTCTGTATGTAATGATTTAAGCAGTGAAAGACAAAACAAAAGTATAAACTGCTTAAGTTTATTTTTCCTTTCAGTGACAGAAGCTTTCTGAAGGAATTAAATGCTTTTTTTCTTTTTTTGGTAAATAAGGGAGACATTAAAGTTTTGGCTCTTTGTTCCTTCTTGATTTTAGATACGAGACCTTATTGTTTAAATGAATGACTTTTCATATGAAGGCTCAAAGGGCTAAACTGCTCCTTAAGAACTAAACAATTCCCTTCTTGTCTTTTTTTTTAATATAGTTTTGCTACTGTATTTTTAAAACTTGTTTTTAATGTTATACTTCTAATATCATTTGGTAATAACTACCAAGGACTCACAGAGGTTTGTTTCTCCCTCCTGCAAAACTTCTCTGGGCATCAGTGCTCTCCACATTCAACATTTATATGAGGAACTGACAGATAGCTTGGAAAAAGACAACTCCAAAACAGTTTTGAAAAGTTAAGAAAAGCTGGCAGTGTTCAGTATTAAAATCCTTTCTTGGAAAATGAAGTAAAAGATAATCATATATTCTTCCACTGCTGTTTCCCCCTTCCTCTGGTGCACTGTGAAACCAACAATTGTATTACTTTTATGACAGCTGAGTATTAAACAGGCAATGAATGCTTTCCATTTAAATCACACTGTTTTATCACAGTAAGCGACGGTTGTTCAGCTATGACCACCACCACTTAATAATAGGGCACTTCAATCTATACAGTAGTTCCTTTCCTCAAGTGCTCTAAAAATGAACTTCTGAACTGGCAGACAGACTCTTGCCAGGAATATTTCTCAAGTCTATTGAACTATGACTGATACAACTCGCTCACTCAAAAACAGCTACTCTCTGCAAATCTTTTCATTATTTGGACACAAGAGGAAAATGTATTAAAAATATCCACTCTATTTTAAACAATATCCATTTCTGTTTGTATCAAAAAAGGGAGTTCGTGGGCACACAATTCTTCATTCGATTGTTTTGTATACTAACAATTGTTTAACTATTTGGCTACAGCAAAATATAAATCCAGGCTGTACAGACTACAAAACCGTCATTCAATACAGCACAGAACTAACTTTCATTCAGCTTCAGTAATACCTTTAGATTTCGGTGATGTGTGAGATGATAAGCAAATGATTTTGGATAAACACAAACTGCTGGTGTAACATTCAAGGGTTAGTCTTTGTTTCCACCTCAGGCTTAATAATATATTTGGACTGCGCAAAAAAATATGTTAATGCGTGATCTATGCAACTGCTTAGCATCCCAATTTGCTTTTTTGGTCCGAATAGCAGGTACGATATCCTTTCTGTTTACAGGAAAGAGTCTGACTAGCATGGCAAGTGTTAAGTTTTAGTCAGAGTCCAGGAAAAAAATGGACACTGTGCCAGGAACTGTCCTTGCAGTGGCCAGCCAAAGCATTTATCGTCTTCTGTTACTTCAGGTTTGCTAATGCTACCTGTGCTTTCTGTTGCTTGCTGCTTGCTTTAAAAATCCCTTAAAATAACCATGCAAAAGACAAAGTAAAATGATTAAGTAACGATCAGCCTTTGAACCAGTGTCAGATTCAATTTTATGCTGCTCTCTTTGCTCCTACATCTCAAACCAAACAACTTACCCACCCTACTTATTATTTATTTAGTATTTTATAGCCAGTTGTGCTGTATATCTGTCCAGTCAAGTTCTGATAAATCACTGTTCATGTCTATGTGGCTTTCTATTACCTGATGTAGTTATAGATCTACTGGCAAACTTTGCCTTGATTGCTGTATTAACCACTGCTTTGAGAGTACTTAGGTCTTCCTCTGCCAATATATGATTTTACTTTAGAATATTAATTATAAACACTTTGAATAAATAAATAATTTTTCAGATGAGCATACAGTTTTCAGTTTATGAATGAGAGAAGCACGAAAACATTTCCTTCCTGACAGTATAAGAGTTATGTGCAAAGAAATGATGAGCGCTGTTGGTTAGCAGTGTTTTAAATTCAGAACAATTAGGTGCAGTTAACTTTGCCATTGTTCTTTCTGATGCTGGGGATGGTGGGTTCTTACCCGTAGAGCAATTATTCCTTTCATAAGCGGCTGTTGTTAATAGCATTAAAACAAGATTAAATACAACATGTTAAATATTGCAATTATTGTGGAAAATAAAATTATTTGGTGAGCATAATGGGGAGCAAATCAAGCATTTAACATGATCCAGGAAATGCTACTCCAAACAATTGCATTTGTTTTATGCAATTTTTCCCCTTTGATTGCTGACAGATGCCGTTTTGGAAACAAACATCTAAGTAGTTTTCCTTCAATCAGAAAAAAAAAAACCACACACCAGAAAATGGCTACATGTTTTGAATTTAACTCTTGTCAATCAGCATTCTGCACAACACTCCCTGTGAATAGTACTAGGACAAAACGATGCCTTCCAAAGACTAATAAGCCACAAAGATGTTTGCTTCTAAACCAGATCTGTTCCGAAGAAAGAAAATGCCTTCGTGCTGCGTAGACATTTCTACGGACACAGCTGTGAAATGAAAATGCTTGCAATGTATGAGGGATATTTCAAATTGGAAATAAGTTAGGTGTATGCGTTTGTGGGCTAGAGAAGAAGAGATTTGTTTTCCGACAGCTTTAGGCCTCAAGCAATGAATTGAAGTACTTGCCAGTTGCTTTCTGACTTCCTGCTGGAGAAGTGGCCAACTATCCAAAAATAATTTGCTTAATTGTTGAGCAGAGTTACCTGCCGCAGCACAAACAGCACGAGTGTGCCCCTCCGTTATCTACCCTCTGCAGTACATTCTGGTGAGGTCATTGTTGCGATCAAGTGTATGAAACCAGGAATGAATGCTAAAAAAGGCTAATAAAGTATATTAATTCAGATGACTATATCAAGCTGGCATTTTACAGTCTACTGGAAACTGAATGCATGAGAGCTTTAGAAATGTTGGCATAGCGGGCAGTTTCTCCAAATGTTGGCTTCTCCTATTCACGTTGGTAAAAGAAGCTCGGCAGAACTGCCTGTAGCTCCTAGTGCTAGACACATCTTTAGGATCTTAGTACTTTTTACTAGATTATCTGTTAATTGCATAGTATTTATTGTTTATTAACCCTTTCTTTACTCTCATTTTGTTCCTATTTCTTCGGTTGCAATTGCTTACAACCTTTTCAGCAGATTGCAATAGCGTGATTTTAGATCTGTTCCTAATTTGGGAGGCATTTTCCTTGGGAAACCTGAACCTAGATGAGTTACGAAGAGGATTTCCTTATCTTGAACAGTGACAATTAGTTCAAGTGCCATGTGAGAGCAGGCAGTTGATTTTTGGACAGCCTCTGAACTTATGCAAAGTTGCTGACAACGAGTGTGTGTTCTAGCTTTTGGAAATCCTATAATCCTGGCTTCAACCAAGAGGATCTGCTGTTGCTGAAGGCGTAAACAAGGAGAGAAGCAGCCTGCGACCACTGCTCCTACACCTTCAAGGATTCCCGAGCCAAAATGAGTGCAACGCTGAAAGCTTTTACTGGGTAGCAAGGTGACACACGTTTCATATGAACTTGCTGAACCCACGGAAAGCAGCTCTTTCCCCTCAGCAGGAAAGTTCTCTTTGGACTCTGCGTTTTTCCCTGTAGCTCTCACTTGTGTATTTCTCCTTGCTCCCCTCTCACTCCTCTGATTTTCTTCTTGCCATCTGTATCCCCCTTTTGCCTCATCTGAAACAAGCATCAAGATCCTGTTTCTGACAGAACGATCTGTCAATACGGAGACACACTGACATCACAGACGCAGTGCTGTGACTTCATGTCTGAAAGAAACAGGAGGAACAGATGAAAGGAGTGAAGGGGAAGGAATGACACACAAACATTAAAAAACAATTAAATAAAAAATTCTTCTCTATCAACCCAAAATGTAAAAGAACATAAGATTTATTTTTTAAGTTTAAATATAAACAACCATTTCCTAATCTGTTGTGTAATCAACATAGCATTTCACCGTGCTCTTCTCCCGAGGCAGGCAGCAGTCTCTAGGAAGGAGCACGCGCTTTGCTGACTCAAGGCCTAAGGGACGGCCGACTCAGCCTCTGAGAAAGGGCTACCTAGGAACTAGCCTGGCAAATGGGTATTATGAAGCATAGCGCTCATACCCGGGAGGAGCCTCCTAAGGGAAAGAAGGACTTCTGCCCTGGAAAAATCTAAAAAATCTAAATAAAAGTAAATTCATAGAATTAAAAAAAAAAGTTTAAAACAAAAACACAAACTCAGTTTTAATGCAGCTGCATCAAAGCTAACATTGCCCCAGGGAGACAGGGATAGAGAATGTATCCAGAAAATCTGCTTATTGAAAA